GGACTTGCCAAGTTCGACTCAGGAGAACGAAGAACAAGAGGACGCAAGTCCGGTTCTTCTGCAAATGGAACAGAGCGTTCTTGATCGCGTCACTCAGCACGTTCTGACAACTCCGGTTATCACTTTATGTATATTTTGGGCAACAATAAAATGAAATACGCTACAACTCTGGCACTTTTCGACAACAATAAAACTAAATATGTTATAAAACACCACTTTGCCTCTTTTCATTTAAAAAAAAAAAAATCTTAAACATATTAGTCTAATGGCCAGGTGGTGTAGGCAACGCGTACATTATTTTCACTGCATATTTATAACAAAATGAACATAATCTTTACGTTTTCATTTTAAAAATATGAAACATTATTGATTTTTATTTACATTTAACAAACAGAGGCAGGGTTGTGTCATTTTATTTTATTGTACATATGAAGAATGTTTAAAAAAAATAGAGAGAGAGCGAGAGAGAGAGAGAGAGAGAGAGAGAGAGAGAGAGAGAGAGAGAGAGAGAGAGAGAGAGAGAGAGAGAGAGAGAGAGAGAGAGAGGAAAGGCTGTTCCAGGCGGGTGCAGAGCGCTGAGACCCGGTGAAAGACTGGTCCTCAAAACTCCGAAAACGTCAGATAAAATTTTTAAATAGGCAGTATCTTTATAAATAAACCACAGATTTGAGATTTAAACAAACACATTCTCACCTGAAACACTCTTAAAATTACATTTCATGACACAAAACAGTAGTATTTTGATATTACACGATTTTCTACACGATCTATTGACGCTTGCTGGGTGGTGCAAGATGCATTCTGGGATACCTGGCTATCTCAAGTCCACACAAGTCATCTCTCGATGCATCCTTGGTAAACGGGGCGGATCAAGAACATATAATCCGGGAAATTGAACTGGACTTGGCCACATGTGAACTTTGAATTGGAACAGTACTTGGGCGGTGACTGATGACGTTTCACAAGTCCACAAGAACATATTGAGAAACGGTTCGTGTCTCATATTGACACTAAAGGGTGCCATGAGCGTTGGATGTATACGCATTGTCAAAAGCATCACTATATGACGCCCTAGGATGAGCTAGACATTGTGTTTGTGAGTGGAATCAACAAAAAGAACCAAGAGAAGCTGAGATGTGTACTGCTGCCAGGTGGAGAGAGTGTGGATTGAAGACTACTTGAAAGCTTAGGAGTGAGGTGGGATTGCTTAGGTTTGCAAAAAGACAGAAATGAAAATATCTGCTCAGCTTCTGTTCAGCTTCTTTATTTCACTGATGCAGCCCACACATGTTCCTGCATAGGTTATGCAGTATTTGAAAGAGAAATCTGTAGCCATGTAAATGGCCTACACAGTCGATTTAAGCGAAACAATTAATGATCGACAGTGTATATATATAAATATGTAAAGCTATGTGGGCATTTTGAACTGCTATGTTCTACTATTTCCAGTATAGAGTCCCAGTGAACCACAGGGCTGTCTGCACCAGGGAGCAGTGTGCTCAACTGGGGCTGGAGATGATGAATGTGGCCCTCGCACCACTGGAGGAAGCCTCCATGTGTTTCAAGCTCCATAATACACCTACTCATTCATCTCTCTCCCATCCAGCACAACATTCCCATATGCTCTCGGTAATTACGGCCTGTGTTTTCTCTCTGACGGCCAGTGGAGGGAGGAACACTCTGTGGATGCATCTGTGAAGGTGCATATAAACGGTCTCCTCAAGCTCTTTGAGTGAGTAGCAGCAGCAGTCTTTACCTCATTTAATTTCTTTATTTAGTCTAATAATCTCAATCTCATTACAAGGCTCTTTGTGAATTTAAAAGGCTTGATTGGACAAGTTTAAAAAGGAATGAGTAAATCTGAAAGTCAAACCATTTTTCTTCTTTCTCTTCCACCCTGAAAACACGCCGCAGGAGTGGCTGCTGAGCCCGGTTAAGTCTCTTAGCACCTCACCCTCATGCTGAGAGACAAGACAGATCAAAAACCCTTCTCTCTGCGCTGTCTCTCTATCTCATCCCCTCCCTTCATCCATGTCTCTTTCCTTTTTTCCACCTCTGTTATTTCTTCTCCACTTATTCCAATTCTCTCTTTTAATATATATATTTTTTTCATCCCTCTCAGTCAATCCTTTCCTATTTTGGTCATTTACTTTCATGTCGCAGTTTGAGAGACTGACTCAAAGATTCTTTCTGGAGTGTGTGAAGGGAGGGGAGGTGTAAACGAAAAAAGGATGATGGATTGCTTTGTTTTGTGAACCCAAGCATGCCTCATCCCTCCACCCCTGATATGCAGTGCTCCTTTTTGCAGTTTCTTGAGTGGACTAATTATTAAAAAATGCAAAACCAATCAAATTTAGACAAGGCGTTTTTGTAATTAATTTAACCCTTTCTTCTGTAATTTTTTTTTTTTTCTTTTTCAGTTTGGTGTAATTCCATTTACTGACACCAAGTTTATTTTCCTGGGAGTTGTTTAAGGAAGATTACCCTTTTTTTGTGGGCACATGGTGCCATCTAGTGTTTGAGGGATGGAACCAACCTGCAGGACTATAATTAATTAAGGATTTCTGTTTTTCGTCACATTCCAATTAAATCCTGTATTTTAGACCCTTTGTTAAATAATTAATGTTAAGAACAAGGTACCTCATAAGTTTTTTTATTATTTTGACATTTGTTTTAGGTAAAAAATCTAAATTTGCAAAATATATTATTATTTACTCACTTAAAACAGCTTGGTTAAAAATTTCCCAACAGATAACGCAATTGTGGGTTGATATACAGTACATCGACCTATTTTTAGATTTTAGATTTTATCCCAATGTATTGGATAACTAATTTGTTTTCGACAAGGTGTTGCTTTAAGCATTCTAATATTATTAGTTTATTCATTTTATTTTATATTAATACTACACTGCTTATATGAATTTATCTGGGTTACCTTGCGTGTGCAGGCAAGCATCCGCATCTCACGCCAGTGAGCGAAGCAAAAGCTGGACCAATGTGTTAATCCTCGTCCTGGCTTTTAATTTGTCACTCTCCCCTTTTCTTTTTCATTTCCTCTGATAAAACCGTTGCCTTCTTCCTTGTAGCTGCTGTTCGGCATGACGAAAACATATGGACGGCAATCAAACGCGAGTTGAGCTCTAACGTTTGATTCTGAGGAAGTTGTGGGTGGTGGGGGAAGTGACGTATGCCGTAAAGCGGTCGAATTTTGTAGTTCTTTTTGTGCTCGGGTTCCTACCCGAAACCCGAAGTTACAAAGTGCAAGTAAAAGCGATACAGACATAACACAGTCTCATCCCAAAAAGTCATATAACTGACGTCTTGGGACGTCTTTTGACCATACGTCAATATCCGCCTTTTTAGGGCCCCCTTAAACGTCGGTAGATGGCGATCCCGGGCCGTCATACAACTGACGCTTTACCTTTAACGTCAGTTAGGTGACGGGTTAGGTTTAGGGTTAGGTTTAGGTCTGGGTTAGAGTTAGGATCCCATAACCTCATCTACCGACGTTTAAGGGGGCCCTAAAAAGGCGAAAATTGACGTATGGTCAAAAGACGTCCCAAAACGTCAGTTATATGACGTCTTGGGATGAGACCGGGTTGACAGACACCTTCAGGAGACAGCAGATATTGTAAGTCGATCTAGCATCTCAATGGATTTTGGTAATATATTATAAAGATTGAAGAGTTCCAGAGTGTGGCTTTAACTTAAAAAATAAGCAACCTGGTTGCCTTAATTTTAAGTTGACGAACTGGAAAAAGTGAGTTAATACAATAAAGGAGATTAATTTAATCGTCTGAAACTCAAAATAATAAGTTATCTGAAATAAATAAATTATTTAAGTTGATTTGACAAAAGAAAAAATGTTGTGATTACAAATCTTTAAAATACCTTTTTTACGTACCATATTTTTGCTTTTTTTTTTACAATGTTACATTCAACAAGAAATGGAAAACTCTCAAATGAATTCTTAGCTATAAAAATACATAAATACTATCTTGTTTGTTTTTGAATGTTACATGATGTGCTTTATACAAACATCTCCTATAAAGAATATCAATTTTGTCACACAATTTCTTCTACATTCATTGACCCCCAAAAGCATTGTGGAAACATTTGAAGCTGTAAATCTGATTAGATGAAAGAAGTAAGCAGCTGAAATGGGGTCAGTGAAATGAGGTCTGGATGTTGCATGCATCTGAAGTTTGACTATCTGCAAAAACAAAGATGTCAAATTTTCCGTGTAAAGAAAACTGCTTTTTAAGCGGGTTTTTCTTTTCTTTTTTTCCTGCTGGTTTGGTGGAGATGTTGTTTGCTACAATATGAACACTGCCAGTGCCCATATGGTTGTTAGGTAGGCCTGTATAACATTAGTCATCATATAAACTGCTCTCTTATAATTATTATATTATTATATTAGTTATTTTATATTAGAGTACCAGCACTCATATTTAATCATGTGTTATGGATAAACTACATGTATATTTATACAGTATAAACATTGGTGTCTTAATTTTACCACAGTGTTCTACAAAATTTGTAGATTATAAATCAAACAGCTTTTTGGAATACTTTATTTTAAATGGTAAATTGCGAAAATCTGATCAAACTGTTTTAGCATAATGATGGCTAAACTGTGTTATCTCTCATATCGCTCCATTGTTTATTTACATTTTTTTTTACATGTAGTTACAGTTGTTACATTTAGTCATTTAGCAGATGCCTTTGTCCAAAGTGACTTACAAATGAGGAGTGCAGCAAGCGAGTCATCATGAAGAGGCAAAAACAATGCAAGAAGTGCTCAAAATACAAAGTTCAGGCATTGCATAGAATAGCTACCATTAGCCAGACAAGGGAGGATTAATGGGGAAAAATGTATATATATATATATATATATATATATATATATACATTATATATATATATATATATATATATATATATATATACAATATATATATACATTTAATATGTTTAAGAATATATATATAACAAAATTATTTTATCAACATCAGTATTTCAAATATTTATTTGTTTGATAACCATAATTGTGGATAATTTATAGGTCTTGATTTTTTCAATGAAATTTGGGTTTATTTTGCTATATGTCCAGCTGACTGTACATTATCCTTCACCTGAGTGTGCATTTTTACATCATTGTACACACTGAAGTCCGAGTTTGGGAATCGGATGCTCTTTTTCCGTTGGTTTCCTCCTTTGGGGATGTCCAGTGATGCATAACAAACTTCACTATGGACATCCTGTGGAAACATTTTTATTCTTTTTTTTTAATAGCATTGTTTTTAGTGGTATAATCATTTTGTGATTGTAAAACAGCTTCGTGTGGGTTCAGAACAATATTTCATATTATGTTTTTATTTTTAATTATTTAATTTTCAAAATTCATTATTTAGCTAATTGCACACTGTTCAAACTGTTTCAGACTCATATCGTAGCACTTTTCTGCATATGAGCTACAGTTTAAACATAAAAAATAAGTTTACCTCTTCTTGGCTCAACTGTCTTTGCATCTCAGAGCTGCTTTGATGAGGTTCAGACTCCTTTAGCACTGTAAATTACACATTCAAAAGGTCGTATCTCTAATAGGATTTTATTTTTAAAATTGTGATTCCCTTAAACATAGATGGTACAGCTATTAAGTTTAAAGCATACTGTTCTGACCTGTCTTGAGGCAGCAGCTGTATCCACAGACAAAAGCCAAAATGGCCGAGAGAAGAGAACATGCAGGACACAATGTTTGAAGTATCATCCAGCACTGCCAGCAGTCACAGACCGGCTCAGAAGGGCTTTCTAAGGAGAAGATTGATGAATAACTGATGAATGAAGAAGATTGATGAATTAATTAATGACCACAAGCAAGGTTAATGAATTAAGCTTAATATTAAGTTTTCATATAATTGTCCTCTGTTCATTTCACTCGTTGGTTGTTTTCTCTAAATTAAAATCTTTATTTATTTTATTATTATTTATTTATTTTAAAATAAAAAAATATTTTTATTTTAACATAAATAAATATTTTTAAAAAATATATATTTTATTTATTTTATAATTAAAATAAAATAAATATTTGGAAGATATCACTGAACATTTTTTTAACCACAGCAAAAGTAAAATTTTACTAAGTAAATTTTTCATCTCTGTTTTTATTATTATTATTATTATTTTATTTAACAGTTATTATATCATATCTTTAATGCTGATCTAACCAGCAGAAGACCCAGTTTGGCAAAGTGTAAGAGTGTAACACTGATAATGTGCCCCTATAACTACGCTATTCTATACGTTCATGAATTCTATTGAGAAACCATGAGAAAAATGTGAATAAAGACTGAGAGTCAATGTTCAGAAATTATTATTATAATTATTATGTATTGAACTATGCTGTATCTGTGTTTTGCGGTCTGTTCATTGTCAAACTCAAAAATTACAATTCTAAAAGTGTATACAACTGTATTAATGAAACAAAACCACATAATTAGACATGAATTAATCAAACTGAGAAAGTCAAAAAGTGTTCGGTTGTGCCCTGTTCTCTCCTACATCATTTATGGCAGTTTCAGAAACATCCACATTTTATAGTTCATCCATTCTCTGGAAATCGACTCATGACCATAGCATTGATAGCGCAATGTTACTGTTTGAACTAGAGCAATGCTTACTGTAAACATTTCTCAGAAGTGCAAGAGATGGAAATGATAAAAACCCTCTTAAAAAAGTAATTATAACGAAATCTAATATATTTAGGCATTTTAAGTGTTTTTAGGACTATACTTTTTCTTTTAGTAGTCTATATTTATTTATTTATTTATTTATTTATTATTTGCTTTAGTAATTATTCAGTGTTTTTCTTTTATATATATATATATATATATATATATATATATATATATATAATTTTACAGAATGTTTGCAGTTGGAAGCAAGCTTACCAGTCGAACCGTAAGTGAGATTTATAACATTTTTGGCAGCTTGGGACCATTCTTTCTCTGCCATTTTTCCATCCTCTTCAGTCATCTTGGTCTCTACCTTTGAGCAATAGTAGAGACCAAGGTCTGCTTCAGTGATGTTCTCGATCACTAAGTCATAGGATTTTGAAGTATTGTTCCAGGACAGAGAGAATCGAGGAATGGGTTCAAAAAGGCTCTTGTATGCAGAGATGGTCAGAGGTTGTTGGATTTGTGGAGACCAGATCTTGACCCATTGAATTTCCTGTCCTGTGATTAACTCACAGTCACAGTGTAGAGTAGCATTATCTCCAGGACTGACCACCACCTCCACCAGCTTTCCAGAGACCTTCCAATAAATGCAACTCAGTGCAACTACAGTATACATTCGAAAAGAAATACGGGGGTTACATAAATAATACACAGTCCTTAAATTGAGTGATTAAGAAAAGCACATCCACGGTTATTCAGAAAACAATATATGCTAAACATTAAGTATATATTTTACATAATAAAATATGTACAAGTACTGAAGCATTGAAGTACTGTGTGATAATTCCAGATTAGAAAGAGTCTATATGAAAACTCGTTTTTAGGAGTAAAAATTGATCATAAACTAAGCTGGAAACCTCACGTAAACTATATTAGTTCTAAATTGGCAGGGATAAATAAAGTGAGACATATATTGAATCGAGATACAATGTATAATTTATACTGCACGCTTTTTCTTCCTTATTTGCACTACTGTACAGAAGTGTGGGGCAATAATTTTAAAACCACCCTTAAGACAATATGCACAATACAGAAAAAGGCAATTAGAATAGTCTGTAATGTTGGTTATTGTGAGCATACAAATGATTTATTTTTAACTTTGCAAACTCTAAAATTTGAAGACATAGTGGATCTTAAGACTACACAAATTATGTACAAAGCTAAAAAGTACTTCCTAGTAATATTCAAAAATGGTTTAAGGAAAGAGATAGTAGATATAATTTAAGAAGGAGAGGAAATCTCTCCCAATCAATTGCACATACCACACTCAAAAGCATGTGCATATCTGTCAATGGGGCAAGGCTGAGGAATAATTCACCTGTAATAATTAAAGAAAGCAATAATATTGTGCAATTTAAAAGAAGGTTTAAAATGTTTATATTAGAAAAGTATGATTTAAGGTAGACTGGGACATATGTCTCATTTCCTCTTCAAGAGGATGATTTGAATTATTATACAGTCTGTTTCTTGCCATTCCATTAATATTCATATTATTGTCAGTATTACATTTTGGGTTTTTGGTTTATTTATTATTTTTGTTTTTCTTTGTCACGTTATAATTGTATTGCGTGACTTATTTTTAGATAAAATGTACTGCAAATGATGACGTTTTTTTTTTTTGTTTCTCAAAAAGGATGAATTATGATATTTTGTAAAGAGAAAACAGTAGCCGTTTCAAATCTAGATTTGTAAAAGGGGAAGGTAAATATAAGTTAGCTTCTTCCTTCTCCTATTTTTCTATATTCTTTTTCTTCTGAGATTTTGTTTTTATTATTTTTTGTTTAAATATGCTCTGTTATCAATGACCATGTTCTGAAGAGGAAAAGGAAATGAAAAGAAATAAATTATTCATTCATAATAAACATGAAATTTGAAGATAAATCACTTACTAAGTGCAGAGATAGAAAGCTTCATGTTGGTCACGTCTGAATGTCTGATGGTTCTTGAGGGTGAGGAGTGTGTAACTGCCAATGTGATTTTTGCCCCCATTGATTTCTGCACAGATAAATCTTTTACTGTAACTTTACACGGATTCTTAATTACATGTAGGCTTTTTGCCTACATGTAAACTTCTGTAGCTACATTTTTGCTAATGTAGCTTTTTTAAAATTGTGTTTGTTTAAAATGTATTAAAAAATTGAAATTCAAAAATCAAAAAATTAAAATGTAATTTTTTTTGTCACCCACAAACACATACAATATGAGGAAAATGTTTCAGTGTTTAAATGAAAACAATGCTATTTTTAGATAAAATGTCCTCAACACCCACCAGATTTTGCTTATATTTTCTGCCATAAGGGCTTATAAAGTGTCTTCATAAATTTATGATTGTACTTAAAATTTAGACCAGTGAAGACTGCATAAAGTTGTTAGCTTTAATTTATCAATATGAGGATGTAAACTTGGTTTGAATATGGAGGAAGTCGAGGGTGGAATTGGGTCAGTGGTTTGTCATACACAAAGGTTAAATATTTCCCATGTTTCTGTCTGACGCACAAACAAAAACAAAAAAAACAAACACCCCGATTGCTGATTTTTTTTATTTTTAATTATCAAATAAAACAGGCATCAGCAATTTAAAGGATTTGGTTCTCTTACGAGAGGTTCTCTCATACTGCGTAATATCTTACGCTAGGGGACTGGATCGATGTGTCCTACAAAGGGACCCCATACCTCTGTCTCAGCAGCATTCTCCGTGGTGGATGGTGCTAAAGACAGAGGATAACACTCTCTTCCTCCAGTAGAAGAAGCTGTATCGGCCAATCTTTGTCCGCCCTCTGTTGGACGGTGAGCTAAGATGGCGCTACATTCTAAAGCTTGCCGCACTACTTCCGCTATGCACAGCCGTGCTTATACCGCCACTACAGGCTGTATCGGCATTACTCTCGATGGCCGTACTGCAGATCTTCCAAGCCGACCTTCCCTGAAAACTGGATAAGGATGGACCGGAAGCTATCAGCGTGCCGGATTTGAGGAGCGCTACGCTACGGACCTGGCTCTTCGCTCCGTGAAATCTGCTGCACTGGCCATTATGTGCCTGTTTCCCATTGTGCAGGAACATGGCTTCTCTCGCCACCAATGGCTGATGTTATCTGAGATTCCGGGAAACGTAGCGCTCCGCGTTCCTTGACGCGCCCATCTCCCCAGCTGGCCTCTTTGGATCATCCGTGGGCCCCTGCAAAGTCTTTCTAGCCCTCCTAGGAAAACCTTCCACCAAAACCCTTTGCTCATTCAGTTCCAGAAAATGCAACTGTTACCGTGTATTTTGCAGTAAAAAAATCTGTAGTTCACAATTTTTGGCACCCCTAGAATATTTTGCGAGTAAAATACTTTTGAAGGATATTCCCAATTAATATTTACCTTTTTTTTAGCACATCAGGGTGACTAGGATCATGAAATTGTCCAGTCATGACTTCTTTCACAGGAGTTTAAATATGAGAAAACACAAATGCCAAATTCCTTTAATCATCTATCACAATGAGTAGCCTAAAGCAACTCTGTGTTTCTTTTGAAGTCATAACATCAGAATCTCTGAAGGAGAACATCGTAATTGGTTACCATTATGGAGATCAGTGTTTGCTTTAGTTGGGCTCTTGAGCCTTAAGTCATTTATTTTAGAACTTGTTCGGTTATTGTATTTCCACTTCTGTTACAGCCAAATGAACAAAGAGAAAAGGTGATTTGATGGTGCCCGCTGTTTAACATTGTCATCATTTCACAATCTTTTGACCTGAGTAGAGCCCAATTTCTGAGTTAAATTTACTTTATTGTTTATTGTTACAACACTGTCATTGAAAATCACAATATTCTTAACTTTTACAATGTAATCTAAATAATTTCTTGAAACTTCAAGAAATTGACATCAAGAATCAGCATGTGATTCGCAATAATGGTGACAATTTTAAAGCATTTTGCAGTGTATTCTGGATGCCACCAATAAATAATGCTGTTATGCACAATAATGCTGTAATGTAATGCAACAGAATCACAAAGCTGTTGCTAACAAATTAAACCAAATCATCTGAGTAAGTTTCATTTTTCAGATCACAGCATGATGTCAAAACATAACCAACAGTTGATTAACAATCAGATCACAGTTTTCTTTGTTCATTTGACTGTTATAAATCAATAACAGCAGACAAACAAAATTTAAAGTGAAAGTATATAAGAATATAGTTCTGATGTGAATCAAAAAATTGTTGAGATTCACAAAATTGAAAGTGACTGTAAGAAAATAGCTAAAGAATTGAAAATCCCCATTTTGACCATTAGGGCAATAATTAAGAAATTCCAATCAACTATGTTAGGAATCTGCCAGGAAGAAGATGTGTGTCTCTAGGCTATATTGCGTTAGTGGACAGTGAGGGTGAAAGTTTGAGTTGCTTCATGAAAGATCAAAAGGATAAACAATGCAGATTTATTTTTTACAGCTGGGTTTGATCATATTTACCAGGGGTGCCATCAATTTTGTATACAGTATGTACGTACTACCTATTCACCAGAGAGGGAAAACAATTATATATTGCTGATTAAACTAATATTATATATTGCTGATTAAACTACTTTTTACTATTATAGTTAAACAATTCATTGGCATTGTTTGTGAGTAATGTTAGGCCTACATCTGTGCTTTCGCCTAATGAAAAATATTTTCAAAACACAACATATTGCGACATCTAGAGGTTGTTGAAGACTCTGTATCCGCATGACTTCAACTGTGTCTGTATTATTTGTAATCCCCACTGTTATTATGGTGTTTAAATAATACAAAACAAGCAGGCCCAATCATTAACGCTTAGCGTAAGTTTGCTGAGTCTGTCAGGTGCACACGATGCATTTGCCCTTTTCAACAACGTCAGGGGAAAAAAAAAATCTAGGTTAGGCTACACAAAAAGTTAATTAATAACCACTGAGTAACTTATGATGTTAAAGCCCTATAAAGCCCTAAAGCTCATACAATGCACAACATATAAAATCGGGTTAACAAATATTAGCCTGACTTGTAGGGTTTGGGTTTTGGGGTTTTGTGAACATACTGACTAATATATTAATAAACAATCGAACAAGCATGACATTAATTGTAGAACAAAACAATTGTAACAGTCAGAAGCAGCACTTAAGGTGATTAGGTTTTCAATCCTCTTATGATGAGACCCGCGTGCTCCGCTCTTCATTGGAAGCCCCGGCGTATCCGGATACGAGCGTCACTCAATCAGCATCGAGCGCGACACGCAGCCGCTTTTAGGAAATGCCCAGAGACCCGTACTGCCCGACGCACTTTGATGTGTTGTAGTGAACCTGCTGAACACCCTGCGAGGCTGCGAACTGTTTTGCGCACAGACGCCGATACTTGACGGGCGATGTAACTTTTACCCTCGTCGAATAAATATGCAAGAGACCAAACCGGATTGCTTCTTCCAGCGAAATTCCAAGGGCATGTCTTCGGCTGTCACTCGATCGGGATTTGTGGTCTTTTGCGTGGTAAATCCAGTTTTATTTCTCTTGACACGTGACATTTAAGAGACTTTAGCAGAACGTGCTTGGCAAGTTGAACATGGCCAGATTGTTGACTGTTGACACTTTGCCTTTTAAAGTGGCGTACAGCCAAAACTTGTTGAATTGCCCAGTTTATAATTCATTGGAAAACTAGGCTATTAAATATCAGAAGCTCACGCAAAAAATTCTTAAAAGAAAAGTGCCTGATGTGAACTTTGTTTGAAAATGGGTTTCTGCTCCAATATCGCCATCATTTAGGCTACTACTATTTTGTGTGAGAGATTGTGTTAAGCTTTAGCGAAATGTAGGCTGTATATATTAAATCATAATGTAGGCTATAATACCAACTTCTGAATAGCAAGCCTGTTTCTCAAAGAGCTGAACAAGCATGCTACATGTTGTGGCAAATTATCTTGTCAGGGCATCGCGGGATAGTCCCTCACTGTTATTTCCACATCGATCACGATAATGCATGTAGGACCTCTGTGGCATTGAAAAATGCGTTTATTCAGCAGCCTAATTCTTCAAGATCAGCTGACGAGGGCCGTCCGATCCTCACAGTTGAAGTCGAGGATTGTTTCATCGCTTGCAAAGTTCTATATTGTTTCTGTTTGTGTCAAGTTACCACGTTATTTTTTTCTCGTTAGAGCCAAGTCTTTATTCAGAATCCGCATACTGAATATTCATTTAGGAATAAACAAAGAAATTAATTTTATTTACCTTCTGCTTTTTTATGGAAGTAGAAGTAGATGATCTTGCCAGTTATTATGCTGCAATTTTGCAACATTGTGATAATCAGTAATTTAATTTATAGGCTAGGCTACATTTTATCATTTATGTAAATTTTTTAAGGAAACCTTTCACAACATTTCTGAATTTCTGCCAGAACTCAGTGAGATAAAATATACTTTTGATCTCTTTATGAGTTGTGGATTAGAATGAAAGTTTATTTACTTACTTTTATTTAGATAAATTATTTATTTATTTTGCCCCATGTAATAAAAATTTAATGGGGGCCAATGTTGTATTCTTCTAAATTCTTCTAAAGCCTATCATCTTTTTTGTTCCGCAGAAGAACGTTATACAGGTCTGAAATAACATTAACTTGAGTAAATGATGATAGGATTTTCATTTTTGGGGTGAACTATCCATTTCTTTGATCGCTGTATTTTCTGTATTCTTTATGGTATTTGCATGACTCAAAATTCTAATAAATAGGCCTATTATGCATGAATGAGAATTGAGTTAATTTACTATCCCAAAAAAATAAGTAAATAAATAAATAAAAAGCAGTATAATAATGGCAAAAGCATATTTCCAAAAGAAAATAGTAGTTTTTTCCAATGACACTGATTACATATAGTCATATCAGGATTCGGAAAAATGTTTAACTTTAATTTTAAACATTAGTCTAACCCTTTCTCAGAGCAGCTCTTCAATGCATTCTCTTTTGCATTTTTACCTGGACAATAACATGAAAAGATTTACACACATTTTAGAAAAGCCATGGACATACATGATATTAGATTATTTTAGTACTGTACTCCATGTAACTGCATTAATGCTCTTTATTCTCTCTAAATGGTCCTTCTTTTTTGTGTACCTATCTATGTGTAGATTTTAGTCCTGACGCTTGCCCTATACCCTGTGCTGAAGACCCTGGGTGTTCATATTCATTCTGCCATCACAGGAGGCTTTGTGGCCGGATATCATTCTGTGCTGCTTCTCAACTGTCCTACTGAACAAACTGCTAGAGATATTGGCAGGTACAGTACACATGCGCAAACACAAACAAGGAAAGATATATTGAGCGTCAGAAACAGGGTTGTCCCGATGATAGTGACGTGTATCGACGATAGTCAGACATATTGCAGATGGCTGATGCCTTTGTTAATATCAAGACGATAAATGGCTCGGCTGTCCTATTAATGTATTAAATTATTATTATTAAAAGGCTAGCTTTATTATTAAATTAACATTAGGACTTATAATGAATTTTACTTCCTTACTTTAATATTGGGTCCCACTTTATATTAAGTGGCTTTAAGTACTATATACTTACATTGATATTAATCATTTGATACAATGGACTTATTGTGTACATACATGTTTTTACATTGTACTTATATTTTAAAAATACCAGCATGTAATTACAGCTATAATTACTTTATGTAATTACATTTGTAATTACACAGTTGACCCTCCCCTCACACCACCTACCCTTAAACCAACCCATACCACCACACCTGTCCCTAACCTCACCCGTATCACACCTCAATAGCAGCAAAAGTGTTTTACAATACAACAGGAACACAATAATAGATTGTACTTATTGTTCAATGTAAGTACATAGTACGTAAAGCCACTTAATATAAAGTGGGACCTAATATTGACATCAGCACATAACCACACATGTGACACCGACATGTGTGTATGAGAATTGAGGACCAAAGAAGATGTGTTCGCTTAGAAAGCCCGTCAACTTCGAGCATTAGAAAACGAGCCAATGGCAAAGAAATGCCATGGGTCAGCGGATTCTGCACAGCGCAACCCCACCCCACCCCGTGGGCATTTAAAGGGAGGAATCCCGTTTTGTCAAACAGCGACCCCTAGAGTCGCTGTGGAGTGCTTGTATTTAAAGTAGTACATCGTGATTAATTTGTCGTTTAATGAGATGTAATATATGTTGTTACGGTAGAGATCCACTTGTCCGACACGACAGTCGCGTGTTGTCGCAACGCCTCCCCACATTTGTACTTTGATGGGTGTTCCTCAAGTTTACCGCTATGGCCGTGGTTTTGAGCCAGCGGCCAGTCTAGAACAGAGGACCTGCGAGAGACTTCCCCCCATCTCCATATGCTCTACCTCTATTGGATAGTCGCGGCGCATTCAATGGAATTCATTTCCATAAAGATGGGCATCGGCCATCTTTTTGACGCGCAGCATTTTACCAAATGAAGCGCCGCCCTCCCGGGATGCTTTGCGGGCGCGTTAAAGTCGCCTGACGTCACCCATAGGAATAAAGCGGAGCACGGCACGACAGAAGTGCCGCGCGGACAAGTGGATCCGCACCGTTAGTGGTTAATGGTTCAGTGGCAGAACTTTTGCCAAGTGTGTCATCTGGGTTCTGGAATCCATACTAGTAGTATAGTTCATTTTCCTCATCAAAACCGATTTTTATTAGTGATTGTATATCAAGCAGGGACACTTTTTTTTTGTGCTTTAGGTTTTGTTAATTCACCATAACAAATATAAAGAGTCTCTCAGTCCCCGCAACGGATTGAAGCGCGCGTCAATGACTGTGCGCGTCACAACAGAATCCACTTAATCCGCGCCACTGATCGCAGTGGCAAGCACTTTGGTCACTTGATTTAAAAAACAACGCATTTCAGATCACCTCTTATTTAACAAACAAACGAAATGAATGCTCTTCTAGAGTTAACCGGATATGTTTTATTTGTTTATATTGGTACATCTGTGCCAGGTTGATGTTTCAATGGGGACATATCACACCCGCAAATTACACCTATGCTCGTGTCTGACTCCTCGCTCGGTCAGTCTGCCGTTTCCTCTTTCTCTGTTCCTCCGACAATGCTTTACTAGCTTTCTGCATCTTAATATGCATCCATGACAATAGTGTGACAAACTCCATCCCTCTCAACCTTGTTCCTGGATGGCGGTGTGTATGTGTGCAGTGCTGTAAAGAAATATGTTACATCGCAAGAGCTGATATCACGCGATACTTCCTGACGCTGAGGCCGGCGGCCCACCGGACCAAGTGAGATTTTTTCTGCTCACAGGCAACAGGGGAGGGGAGGGCGAGACGGCCACTATTCAACCCGATTTAACCATTTAACCAGACTATTTAACCATTTAAATAACTCTGAAGGTGTTCAGTTAAGCAAAATAAATGCATATAATCCATTTAAATACAATTACAATATGAAATTAAGTACAATATGCAGACATGTTTTTGCTTCGGAGCCAAGAAGTCCTCTTCACTCCTGCAGCCTATTCTCTGACTATCTACGCGAATCTTCTAGACAGCAGCTTCCAGTCGGTGTTGGTGTGATGGTGTGTTCCAGCGAGTTTCACATTTATGCCTGCTGAACTGTGTGTGTTTTTCTTCCTGGACAGGACCCTAGCGCCCTTTGGCATGTCGATTGCCTTGAGTTGTCTCGCTCTGCACCGCTTCCATGCGTTGCTCAAGAAACGTACGTACTAGTCCGATCAGACAAAACCGCAACAGTCGCGTATATCAATCGACAAGGTGGTCAACGCTCCCACCATATGTCACAACTCACTTGCCTCCACCTCATATGAAGTCAGAAGCATCTGAGGTCGCTTCGAGCCTTTGTATTCCGGGAACCCTCAACTGTGCAGCCAATAAGCTTTCATGTCTCAGCCTCTTCCTGGAGAATGGCGGCTCAATCCCCCCGTTGGTTCAGCTGATTTGGGATCAGTTCAGAGAACTTGCACAGACGCTGCACATGTGGCTCCTGGACAGGACAAGGCAGGTTTGAGAACCCAACCACCGTTGGTGGCTACCATCACTTCCGCTATAACATCGTCCATGAGACATGCCTACGCGTTGGAGTGGATCCTCTTCCTCAACTGGTGCTCTTCTCACAGATAAAACCCCAGGAAATGTCCGATCAGTGTCGTGCTTTCCTTCCTGCAAGATGGGTTGGAGCGAAGGCTGTCTCGCTCCACCCTGAAAGTCTATTTTGCCACTATCGCCGTATCACCTGCATATTGAGGGTAAGTCCGTGGGAAATCATGACCTGATCATCAGGTTCCTGAGAGGAGCGAGGAGACTGAATCCTCCTTGCCATTCTTTCATCCCCTCTTGAGACCTCTCAGCGGTTTTTAACTGCCCTGCAGAGTACTCCCCTTGAGCCTCTGCACTTAGTGAAGTTTAAGTTCCTGTCAGCTAAGACAGCGCTCCTGGTTGCATTCTCTGTTGATGTCAATGGCAGAGTCTATGCCTATGGCATAGGGTAGTAACGATTCACTCGTTTTCTCGATGCATTGATTCTAAATCCTGACGATGCATATGCATCGATCCTGAAACGTATTTTGAATCGTGAATCGTTTATTTACGTGAATAATCGATTTAAAAGGCTAAGAATTGAATTAATCGCGATTTTTATATGCATTCAGTGGTTTAAAATATATAAACACAACCTTAAATTGTTCCTGGTACAAGCTGCCTCACACATTGGCCGTCATAAGACATCCTCATTTTGATTGGTTTCATCCGCTCACACACCCCTGATTTCTCACGCTGAAGCCCGGTCGGTCAAATGCCTGAAAGATGAGTTTATCTTTCTACCTGTTGAGCTACAAGTGTGGTGATCAGCTAGTATTACGGCAAATTAGTTAAAATCTCCCGGAATCTAGAGCGAGCGTGCATACGAGACAGAGGTTGTGCTCCAAACAGCGTATCGCGTGTGCACACATGGCTGCATGCACGCGAGCTAGAGACCACCTTGCGTGTAAGGAGAGTCTTTCCATGTAATAAATGAATGAAAGCGTTTTATTTCATAGTGCCCACGCAATAGCATTGCAGCTTTATCAATGGCTTGAGCGGTTTGCCTCAAAACTATTGCTTTCTCGACAGAGAGCTCAGCTGGAGAGCTCAAACATGGACTGCTCAAAAATCTGTAGTTACATGATGTTGTGAATTAATCAGAATAGAAATGTGAATTTGTTATCTTTAATAATAACAGAAACAGTTTGACATTAATGGGGGTGTTCAGCTTTAAGATAATTCTACCAAAAATGCATCAGTGTATATGAGGAAGAAAAAAAAGAGAAAGAGATTGTTTTCATGTGCGAGCGCTGTATCTAATGATTCAAGTTCAGAAACTTCAGTAAACAGTTCAGTTTATTCAATTCAAGTCGTCAGTGGTCATTATTGCTGGTCAAGGAAGAAAATACACGACATTCTTTGGTGCCGAAAACCCGGGATAACTTGCAAGCAACATCCGAAATGGCGGAGCGACTTGAAAGACTACACAGAAAACGGAGAGCTGTGCGCGGTTCCACGACGAGACTTTTGCAAGATATAGAAACGGAGGTTAGCAAGGAAGATCCAGTCGTTGACAGATTATGTGAACTGTTAGCCATGTTATCTGCAAAAGAGGAAACGCTGCTGGAGTTAGATCACGAAATAGAGGAGCATACAGATGTGGAGGATCTTGAAAATGAAGTCATCGACGCTGAGGAGTATGGCCAGCGAGTCATCAGCGCGAAAGCCCGCGTGCGGCGCGTGATGCAGAGAGTTCGGGAAAACACTGATAGCAGGCCGCGTGATGCAGTACCAGCGCAGCGCGGACAAACAGTTAAGTTACCCAAGTTAATCATCAACAAGTTCAGCGGTGACATTAGCTTGTGGCAGGACTTTTGGAATCAGTTTGAGACGGCCATTCACAGAAATGACGCGCTAAGCAAAACAGAGAAGTTTAATTACTTAAAGACATATGTAGCCGGCGCTGCTTCAAAGGCTATAGTGGGACTGATGTTGACAGACAGCAATTACGATCACGCGATCGATCTGCTTCAGAACCGGTTCGGAAGAAAAGATCTGCTCATTAATGCGCACATGACCAAGTTGTTGAATCTCTGCCCAGTGAAGAAATCCTACGACGTGAGTGCTTTGAGACAACTTTATGATGAATGTGAAGTACAGATTCGTAGCTTAGAATCGCTGGGTATTGCATCAGAAGCATATGGCAGCTTGTTATGCCCTGTTCTGCTACAA